CCACCAACAATCATGTTCTTAATCCCAAATCATTTAAACTGTCAGCAAAAACTTGGTCATGGATTGCAGCAAAGGAGGAGCAGCTGCAGAAAAAGTTTTTTTATGTGTGGTTAGTTGTAAGTTCATACAGAATTCTATACTACCTTGCAGAAATCATTCAGTACATTAAGAACGTGCTAATACAGATTATTGTAGGTAATTTTCATTCTACCTATTAGTTTCAACTGGAAAATAGTACCTCTAGTTGGTAAAGAGATGATGGAAGCAAAGGAGGAGAACAAAAGGAAGAGGAAGAAGTGGAGAAGGAAGATGAAGAAGAGGATTTACCTCACCAGAAAGTAGCAAGAGAAGGTGTTACGGCCTCACAATTAACAGCACCACACGAACTGTCAGAGGGACTTCGAGGAGGAAGAGCCACCGGATGAGCCGACAAGATCAAGGCGGCAAAAGAGTGTTTGTAATCTTTTCAGCCGCGACAATGTGATGTAGGAACATCTTAGCTTTTATTATGCTTAGGGACTAGTTTACCTTCCTTGGTCTAAATAGTTCTATTTTTCCTCTTTAAATAGTTGGCTAATGTAAAAGGGTGGGCTCATTGAATGAATATTATACTCTTTGAAGCCTTAGAGCTTGTCTTCTTCTTCTTCCCTGGATTGGGAAAACGAAATCCTTCTTGCAGGTCAAGTCTTCCGACGATCCACTACATCAGTTGGTATCAGATCCTGGAGCTTGTGAAGATCGATGAACTGCGGAAGAAGGTCGGCTATCGAAGACGATCGAAGCCGCAAATTAAGATTGGCGGTCGACGGCGATCAACGCCAAGGAAGGTGGGTTGTCGACGATGATCGAAGCCGGATCGCCTTCTATCAAGTTCAAGCAAATGATTCATTGGATCGGATCGACATGAATCTTTGGGCAATAAGGAAGATGTGAATGTCGTCGGCAACCATACCGAGGTATTCTTCTTCTTCTTCTTCGATCTCCTCGTCCGCTTCACGCAAACGCCATCAGTCCCTCCATACTCCCACCGTTGTTGATGACTACGCTCCGCTCGAACTCCCTCTCCGATGGCGTGATCCGCCACCACAGTATCTGCTGATCGAGCTTCCGTTGCGATGGCGTGATCCCCCTCCGTTCCAACATCTTCCGTCTCCCAACTCCTCCCGTCCATGCGAGATGGACGCTGATCACAATCAGAGCAATGAGTTGAAGCCGTTCCAACAAATCTCTTCCGTCGCTGATTTCGACTCCGTCGAACAAGTCTTCAGTATGCCAGAACTCCCAAACCCGCCTGAGGACATTCCCATACCCGGCATTCAACCCAATCCCGCAGTTACCACTCCTCCAGTGTCGCCCGCTCAGACAGAGCACCCACTCCAGGCGCCTGTAACCGATGCCTTCCTTCATCCCGATCCGACATCATTCAAAGGCTCTTCGGATTTCGATGGAGAAATCGAAACCTCACCTATCGGGTCAGCTGGCTCCTCGATCATGGCAGGAGACGGAGAGGTCTTGCCTTCAACTAGAGCATCACCGCTCTCTGCATCGGCTTCTGACGCATCCTTACCTGGAAGGGTGGAGAGGGCCTCCGGCTCTGATGTCGTCTCATTGGCAACTAAGGTTGAAGCGTCCGCCGACCAAGACTCCGAAGTCGACGGCACCGCAACCCCTCCCAATCAGTTACCGTCATCTTCAACATCTTCATTCTCATTTGGAAGTGCTCTGTCCTCGTCCAGCTCATCCAGTTCAGCTCCATCTACCCAATTTATCTTGTCATCAACTGCCACTAATACGACCTCTTCCTCTGCTCTAAACTTGCTACCTGCTGTTTCTTTTGGGAGTTCTGCTTCCCAGCCCTCTTTTGGCTTTGCAGCATTGGCAACTTCAACAGGTGTGAAAATGTCTGGTATAAATTTTAGTGACAAGGCTGATTCAACACAACGCCCCCAAGTTGTTCGACGAAATGTCGCTAAAGGATCTGACCAAATTTGAAGAGGCAAGAGGAGGTTGTGCAGAAATTTGATAAAGTTCCAGCAGAGTCCTCATACACCACTGTTGATCACACATATGATTCTGGGCTTAGAGCAGCTATTGGACTCTCAGAACATGGTTTCAATACGGCTTGCATCACGAAGCTCTTCCCCACTACATCTCGCACTGTTGCTGCGCAGGGTGGGATTAATGCAGCATTGGAAAATATGACTGAGGATGACTGGAGATGGCACATCTATGATACAATCAAAGGAAACAATTGGTTAGGTGAACAGGACACTAGTCAATATATGTGTAGAGAGGCACCAAAAGCAGTCATTGAACTTGAAAATTATGATCTTCCATTTTCTAGAACAGAAGATGGAAAAATATATCACCTTGCTTTTGAAAGACAAAGCTTGAATTTCGGCCAAGCCTATCGCTGCGCCTATGTTGCTGATCGCACGGGCCATGCATTTTTACACACTCTTTATGGCCAGGCAATGAAGCATAACACTCAGTTCTTCGTTGAATATTTTGCACTAGATCTTCTTATGGATAGCAGCGGGTTCTGTCAAGACGTGATTGCACATAACATGGAGGATGGAACTGATTTGTACAGGAACATTTCTCTTCTAGCTATAGTGGAGCATGGTGGTAAGGGAAAAGCAAATCTCTTGCAACATGTGTATGAAGATTAAATGGCAGAGGAATTTGATCCTAAATTGTGGATTTGTGTATCCGAAAACTTTGATGTGAAAAGCCATTGGAGCCAGCATTTCCCTGAAGGTGCTTCTCTTGAAGCAAAGTGGAATACAAAATTTGTTGAATATGAGAAGAAGTACGCAGCCAAGCTGAAGGCCATCATTTATGGAGAACTTCCTGTAGGATGGGAGAAAGTTCTGCCGACTTACACTTCGAAGAGCAACTCAAATGTTACTCGGAACCTCTTTCAGCAATACCTTAATGCCCTTGCGTCTACCCTCCCTGATTTCCTTGGAGGAAGTGCTCATCATGCTTCTTCCAACATGATAGTATTGGAAAGTTTTGTGGATTTCCAAAAGACTACTCCATGGGAGAGAAATATTGAGAACAAAATTTTCGATCCAGGAATCTGTCTTCTGCAACGACCTCTTTTTCAATAACGCGTCTCGACGGAGT